GCCTTTGTTCCTGATGTGTACCCCAGCTGTGCATCCCAGATAAACTGATAGCTGCATCAAGAAACATCTCTCGCTTTTCTGTTTTTACTTTTTTCCTTCCCCTGTCTCTTTCCAGACAGGACAGTGACTGGAGTTGATTTGTGGGGCAACTGGGTACCACTCCTTGAGTGAGTAGAGCTTCACCCATTTTACCACTGCTGAGTTGGTCCCTTCTGCTTACAGGGTGTTGTTGAGCTTTTACATTTTATTGCAGATCTGAGACTCTTGTGTTTCTCCTTTTCTTCTTCTTCTTTGCCAGCCCTTTCCTCAGCTGCTGGGATTTTCCATGCAAGCGCTCATGCCAGGTACACCTGGCACATGGGAACAATGCGAAATAGTCCAGAGGTTGAGATTTTTGGTACTATGTTTGAGGCACTTGTTTTACGCAGGATATCTTGGGTGGCTTGTGTGTTGAAAAGCTCAGTTCCATCTGTTTCTGTGTAGAGAAACAGGACAGTGGGTCCTGTTGGGTCCTCTTCTTGCTGCTTTGCAAGAAGCAGCTAGTGAGGCATGGAACATATCTTCTCCAGACATTCCTGCGGGTAATACTTAGATAGATGCTGCTGCAAGTCTTGTGTTTGGGATGGGCTGGAAGGCATAACATGACTGGTCTGTAAGAAGTCTGTGTTTTGTGAAAGTTAGCCTGTTTTCCCCCATTGTGCAAGTGTAATTTCAATACGAATAATATCTTTTGCTCTTACATTAAACTCTTGCTAGGTTATCAGATGAAGTACTCTCGTTCACAGCAGCTGACTTGTCTTGCTCATAGATTACATGCTTCATTGCTTTTGCCTCAGAGATTATGTTTTTGCAACAGGTCTATAGGGTTGTGTCCATCAAGGCGTATCTTTACATAAAATAGTTTTGTAAATCAGTTTATTGGACTGCCCCTGGAATTCAATATAGGGGATGAAATTTATGAGATTAATAGTGACAGAAAGGGCAGGGTCTCCTGTCCTGGTTTCATGCAAACCTTCAGGAAGGTTGGAGGAGTTGTGCAAACTCCATTCCCTATTTTTAAGGTTTCTACCGCGTAAATCTCCTAAATTTAGAGAACTGATATGTATTATTAGTAAATGCTCCCTTGATTTATGTTACTCCTGTCTTCAAGTAGTCATTTACAAACTGTCTGGCTTTTCTCCTTACAGGGTCGTGATTATTGTTCAGAAGAGGAGGATGTCACATAGTGCCAATTCTGCCCCTCACTCCAGGAATACTACTGTGTAAATAGATTACAACCCAGTCGAGACCTTTTGGAAGTCTTCTAGAGTGAACAGCACTACATAACAGAAGAAGATCATTTCCACATTATATGCTCCATTCAGTTACAGTGTTTCTTAATGAACAGATGAGGAATATTGCTAAGAACTCGTAAGGAACTGTTTTTGTTGCTGCTAGTTAAAACTTGTTGCAACTTCTCACTTTTTTCTGTGTCCAGATATGCAGCAAATCCTTAAAGTTAATCCAAAAGACGTTGTTGATTTTATTGAGGCTTCTGGCCTGTTTTCTATCAGATGAGGTAGTGTTATACAAAGCTTCCATAAGTGAACATTCAAGCATCTAAGAAACACCCTTAAGCTGTCTGTCAGTCCGCGTTTGGGCCAGAGTGCTTATTAATGCTGGTGATTTCAAGCTTTGGAGATGGGATGTTTTTGCCACAGCAGGCCTTGTTTCTCTGCTGAGAAGAAGCCGAGAAACTATTATCCATTAAAAGCATGTTATCACTGAAATACTGGAAGTGATGCAGGAGCAGGAATTTGTATTTTAAGAGGAAAAAGAATTTCATTTAATAGGTATCTTAATCAAGGACTAAGCTTGCAGTATTGGCTTTGCTGAGCACGAATGGGAGTATGATCACAATCATTTTGAATCTCTTTTTTTCTAAGAAAATAAACATTTTACTGTTTTTATGTATTCTTGTCTTTTACCATTCCTACAACACAATGTTTTAAGAGTTGGGGGACAAGGAAGGCAAAACCAGCCCTCTGCGTTAATGAGTCTGTGGATCTAATCTCTTGGAGCAGCTCTGTGCCAGCTGGGGGTATCTGTTGTGTGTCCTGTAGAGTTTATTTTTCCATATTATACAGAGAGGATATTACCTTCTCAAAAGCAGATGTAATATTTTTAACAAATGCTGTCATGAGTAAAAACAACAACAAAAAAAACCCTGAACAAACAAAAAAAACCCCACCTTCTGTATTTATTATTTCACAAGAGATTGTTACCTGTACTGATATTTCTTCCTGCTTTGACACCATATGAGGGCCAGGTTTGTACTACATCCCATGGAGACACTTTGTCAGGACATAGGTTTCTGTATTGTATTGATTTCGTTGCTCTGGTGTGTGTGATGTATGTGGAACAGACCATGAGATTGCATTAATAGCATCTTTTGCTGATATGGCCGATACTTGAATGGGGCACTCAGCCCAAAGCCTTTTAACATTGGCCGTTTTTCACTGGACCTTCTGAAAATCAGATCCCTTTAAAGGGTTTGAAGTCCCTCAAAAATAGCCTGTGACTTCTGAAAAATCTCTAAAATATTAGGGATTTTCATGACTAAAGAGATTTCCTCCAGTGTTTGCTCCGAGTGGGGTTGGACAGTCCACGTCAGAAGATTTTGTTCCCTATTAGTGCTGTGCCATCCCTAGAATATTGAAAAAAAAAAAAAAGGCAAGTTCCTTATGCTTCCTTCCCTGCACTGGATTTTCCTTTGGCTTTCAGGCAGTGGGGTAGGGAGGGCCCACCAGGGAGAGAGACCCGGGAGTTACTCTTATTTGTGCAGGACTGGATGTGAGCACCTCCAGCAAGAGCAGCTTTCCAAGCAGCATTTGTGAGGCTGCAGTCTCAAGCTCTCTTCTTAAGGTAGAAGCTATTTCTGAATGCTGCAAACTGCTCAGTCCCCTGGTCTCCTGTCGAGTTGAGTCATTGCTGTATCACAGGATTGGGACAACTCAAGCACTACCTAGCTTTAATAGCTTCCCATATAAGAGCTCAGTGACAGGGTCCTCTCTGGCAGGTTTCACCACATGCTTCTTTATCCTGTTAATGGTCAAAAATTCCCAGCAAATTCTGATTTTCCTAAATCCTTGCAGCATTTCGGCAGCTGCTTTGACCACACAGCTGTTCCCGAGCTTCCTGACTTCCCCAGAGATGAGATTTCACCACCTTCCTCCCATCACATTGTCCTTCTTAGGGCTGTTGGCATTTCTCAGTGCTATGGAGCTGTTTGATCTGTTACAAATTCTTCAAGGTGATAACTCTGTCCTCTTGCATATGATTTTTTTCCATAATTTATGTCAGCTCTCAAGCAGGTAGCCACGCTAAGGAGAGTCAAGAGACTGCACATTTCAATTATTTAAACACTTTAATTAATAAAAAGTCCTGGGGCTTGATCCCACAAATGCTTCTCTCAAAACTGCCTTATAAAGCTTTTCCAAGTAGTAGAAGCGTGATGGAATTGGGGCTGTCCTTTTGAAACATTGTTCATTTTCTAGATGCTGAACATCTCATGTATAAATTTCCCCATACAAAGCCTGTGTTACAGATACGTCATGGTCTTTCAACACACCAGCCTCCTTTTACATGGAGTTTCTTTCAGCCACCTATTAGTTTTAATATTTTTTTTTTTTCTATTTTCCTTGCTGCTGCTGATGGCACCAAAAGCATGGGCTTTGGTGGAAGCTTTGTGAGGGAAGGAGAACTAATTCCCATCTTACCTGTGCACTTAATGTGACCAGCAGCAAGTGCTTTAGTCTTCTGTATGGATTTTAACCTCACTGGTGGACCTCTAGGTGACAATACTTGTGAATGCCTGGGTAGACTGTCCTGCTGCTGGTTGTGGAGGCATGAGGATGGGCAGGAGGTTTGGAGGGCATCAGTAGTTGTCTTTGGAGTTGATGTGCTCCAGAACTGCCCCAGGCTGCTGGTGGGGTTGAGGTGAGGGCAACAGGCTTTGATTTGCTCTACCCTTCTGCAAGAAACATGAAAACATGAAGAGAATTGAGGCTGGGGGAGGGGTGTTGCCCGTTCACATCCAGTCAGCAAATCCTTGGCCATGGCGCATCTTGCGACCATCATGGTGTGCCAAGCAGAACCCAGGAGCTTCTTGATGGTTTTCAGCTGACTCAGGTTCTTGGTCAGGCAGGAGACTTGCTCTCAAACTGTTTGGGATATGGAAAAGCGAAAAGATCAGCGCTGATTGCTTATTAAAAGGAGTCATGCTTATGGAAAAAAACTTAAGAGCAGAAACCTTTTTCCAGTCTTGAATGTCTGAAGTCTATGAAATATAAAATGGTTTCTAAGCACTTCAGGCTTTGGGTTGATGTCCCTCTCTCCACCCCTCAGCCCCTAAGAGTGGTCTGCTTTGCTTGTTGAAGCAGGATAACCATATTCTCAAGCTTTGAGCAACAACTTGGTGCAAAAACATATCCAGAGCAAGTGCAGGGACCTGACGGGAGCTGTGTAGCATTTGGGAAATGGACAAGAATAACCAAACCCCCTTGTAAGAAGTTGCACGTGCCACAAGCAGACCCACAAGGTCACTTGGATGAACATTGGTTTTTAACCTGCTTTATTTCTTCCACCTTTGCAAAGTCCTAGCAGATTTTGTTAAAAGTCTAAATATATGCAGCGGCTGAGCATCTATAATAGTAGAAGCAGATTACTGTAGCTTAAACTGCATCCCTCCGTGAAGGCATACCTCCACCTTACTTTTTACTCTGCTGAGATATATTCAGTGGGGTGGAAAAGAAGAGGGTGGGAAGAAGAGGAAAACTGCTTGTATCGGATGTGCTGTGCTTAGTTGTAAATGGGTTTTTCAAGGTTTCTTTTAAAAGAAATACCAGGAAAACCATTTGGGGCCAAACTTCTCTTTAAGAGGCTGACACTATTTAATAAGCTCCGAGTCATATTCTGAGATCTTGGAGAAAATTGTGGTGAAGGGGTTTTGCAGTCAACATTCTTCCCTTGATGTGCTTTTTCCTTTCTCTAAAGCCCTTTGAGCTGGGCTGGTTTTCCTCCTCGGAGCCTACTTCAAGCATTAGCCCTGGGCAAGAGCAAGGAGAGGAACCAGGGAGTGGGAAGAGTTGCCCAAGAGGCCAGTGACCATCGCCAGATCCAGCCTTATGCCATGGCTGGTGCATGCCAAAGCCTCCCAAATACCCAACCCAAGGGGCCCATAGCCCTCCAAGGGCTGCCTGGATGGATGCTCCATCCCAGGCAGGTGCAAAGCCAGCGTGCCAGAGCTGCATGATCATCGTCATTCACCTAACAAGCAGGGCTTGCTGAGATAGAACATTGATGCTCTCGGGGCAATTTGGGCACAGTTTGGTGCAGTGCTCATAGGATGCGTTTGACCTGAAGAAGGACACCTGGGGAAAAGAAAAATCTGTTTATTGACTGTCTATCTGACACTTATTTTTGTCTCCATCACTAGTAGGCAGGGATAGAGACACATTGTTGTGTTCAGTCTAGTTTTGTGAGGTTTTTGGCAATGTCTCCTTTACTCACTGTCTCCATATTGTATCTATCGCAACACATATGCTTTGGCCTAAAAAGATGATGCCTGTATTTTATTTAATTATTGTGAGCTTCTCTTCACCTGTGCCCCCTCCCAAACCCTTCCACCCTCCATACAGCATCCAGCTTACCAAGGGGACAGGTCCACTTGTGGTTGGCAGAAGGAAGCTTTACCCTCCTACCTGAAGTGTGGTTGTGTATGTTATGTGATTGTGTGTGATGATTTTCTGATGCGCTTGGGTTGTGACTGCTTTGGTCCAAGGAGGAGCCGGCTATTCTGCGTGCCGCTCTGGTTTTACTCTGTTTTGGAGGTTGGCATTTGATATTTGTCTTTTTCAGGGGCAAGGGGCAATCCTGCTCTTGGATGCCAGCACCAACCCTCGATGCCAAGGCATTGTTTTGCCTCAACATCATCACCCTATAACCAAGAGCAGAATTTGACCCAAGGCATATCTTGAGTCACAGGAGTCTACACCTAAACTGGATTAAAGAAACCTGAACTCCTATTAGTGCTTTTTTCATCTCGGAAGGCTGCGGATCATTTCACATCATTTAGATGCTGACACTTGTACTTTTTCCCCTCCAGAATCCTGGCAGGAGATGTTCTGGGCCAGGTCTCTGTGTGCGATATGAGGGACCAGGAGTGGTTTCTCTCCAGCGCCAGGACTTTGAGGAAACTAGTGAAGGAATTGAGCAACTCCCAGCCTGTCCCATTTGGGGAAAAATGGGCAATAACTCCTTACAGGAGCAAGACTTGCATGGGTGGATGGACTTCCTGAGCCTCTGCAGGATTTCCACATAAATTAAGCTGTAGAACCACTAGAGAGTGTAGCTTGACAAACTCTGGGCTTCTCTAAAATTTTGCAGAGATTCCCACTTCATCATGAAGAACTGGGCAGTGTATTAGAAGCTCTCAGGGCTTTTGCTGGTGTGGCTGGTGATTTTTAGGATGTTGTCTTGGACTCACTGGGACTGTTCAGCAGATGGCCTTTCCTCTGATTATTCCTCCAAATCTCTGTTTAGACTTATCTTTTTGAAAACACACCTGGACTGCCTGGAGCAGGATCCACTTTGACTTCTCGTGAAGCAGTCATGCCTGCAGGTGTTTTATTTGCCTGGTGCTATTGGGAGGCACATAGACATTATGGTATCGGGGGTGATGAGCAGCCTGGAAACCCTATAGGCAGATGGAGAGGATGGACATGCAAATAGATATAACAGAGAAACCAGTTAGCAGACCTTGGCCAGAATGCCCTCGAAAAGGATCATCAAAACAGCTGGTTAATTATCTGACTACTAATACTGCTGTTTCCTGGATCCCACGAACCCTTCTCTGATACTAGACTTCAGCCCCAAAACTATGCCATCTGAAACTTAACATTAATTTCTTTCTTTGCTTTCAGTCAGAGGTGGGGGTGGGTGGTTTTTTTTTAAAGTAAGTCTCTGCGCTGGGACCTAGAAGACCCAGCTTTGCATCCTCCCCTGCCATGAGTCCTTTGTGGCCATGGATGGACCATGCAGAACCTGGGTTGACTTACTGCACCTCTCCATCCCTTTGTGCACAACAGGAATAGCAGTGCTTTCCAAATCCTGGCTGCACAAGTGAAATCTTCAGCCCACGAATGCCCTCATCCCATCATCCCCGTGCGTGCTCGGGCAGGCTCTGACCTCTGCAGCCAGTGGAGTTGTGCATGGTGCTGCCACAAGACACGGCGACCACGGCTGTAAGAGAAAGGAGGCAGTGATCGGCAATATTGCATGATTTTTTTTTGCAGCGTGCCTTTTAATTGCTGTAAGAGAGCCCAACTGATGACTGGCACTGCCCATGAAGCACAACACATACTTTAAAATCTGAATTAGTAGGCAAGAGTGAATGGGTAGATGAAGCACCAGAGAGACATGTTTAAGTTCTGAAGACATTGCCATCATCAACCGAAAATTAGACTGAAGATAAATATTCAGTTCTCAGCTATTTCAGTTTTATCAAGTCTATAAAACAATGATTACCTGTCACTTCGATTTTGGAGTTAGCAATGACTCAACTCCAGATCGGCTTGGCTGACACGCCAGAACTTCAGACTAGGAGAGGCTTCCAGCTGGGTAATGTCTGCATCTGCCAAGGAACGAATTTAATATGAGCTTTAAATAAAAGGGGGTAATTTCCAGTTGCTGTTGGCATTTCTGTCCCATCAACAGCTTTGGTTTGCATTGCTGCTTCGCAGATGACAGTCCATGATGCCACGTAGGCTTCATATCCAACATACATGCTTTATATTCACATTTTACAACGCATCTTGCCACGTTGGCCATTTCCCCTTTCTTTTATAAACCGAGAGCAAACCTGAGCTCTGGTGGCCCGTCAGGTGCCTCCACCTGCCCAGTGTGGGGGTAACCTCCCTCACCTCCACATCATATCAGCCTGTGAGGACCAGCAGTAGAGCTCATCACCCCTTCCCTGCCACCAATGAAGAGCACCAGGCTTTACGGAGCCACATACCCGGCATAATCAGCTCTGTAAGCTTAAATTTTCTAACCTAACAAACATTAAAGAACATTTTATAAAGCCAACACCATCTATAAGCTGGGTGAATGCAAGTGTGTGTCCATGTGCCACCCCCCGTGGCAAGCAGGATGGAGCGTTGCTGCCTTTTGGCCCCTGCTCTGGGTCCTGCTACCACTGGGAAAAGCTCCTTTTTCAGGCTGAAATGTTTACCTATGTAGTTTCATTCTGGAGATGTCTGGGGAGAGGAGACAAGGAATGCAGGGATGGCTTTGGAGGGGCATGTTATTTGCTTTACTGTTGGGGAGCAAACCTTGATGTCAAACATCCAAAAGGTTGGTGAAAGGGTGAAAAGTCATACTAAAGCTATTGCGCTGTTGTGGATATAGTGTTCGGCAAAGGGAAACAAATCCCAGCACAGGGGAACTGTGAAATGTGAAAGTTGGTAGAATTCAAACGAGTTCATGTCTTTGACATTCAGGTGAATGCTCTCTTTGAGCTTGAAGATGGCACAGTCTTCATCATCATCATCATAAACGTGTGGGACTGTGAACCTGCTTTGTAAAAGCCAGCTATAATGCCATCCTCATGAACACCTAATCCCTGCTCCCATGGCAGCGTCTCAGCAGTGTCACAAACACCAACAGAACATTTTAGGGGAAAAGTGTCATTTTTTTTTTTAAAGGTTTGCCTGCATTATCAAAGCTGACTCTGTTTGAATGCAGCAGTTTTGTGTGCCAGCAGGGCCAGGACAGCACGGAGGACCTCACTGATGACTTTCATCCCGATTACTGAAAAGCTGGTTGAATGAAGAAGCCAGCCTCGGGGCAGGGTGAGCTCCAGGCTTGAGTCCGTATCTTTATTTGCCAGTTGCTGCCTATCGCCAATTTATCTGTCACGCAGGTATGGCTGTCACGCAGCAAAAGGGGAAGCGTGTGATTTCTTCCCTCTTGGAACAATTCGCTTCCTCCCCACTGCTCTGCCGTCCCGGATGGTTTCTGTTTAAATGAGGAGTCCTGAGCTTTTATTTCAAGCTTTGTCAATAGTGGCAGACTCGCCTTAACAGGTCTGTTAGCAGGAGGCGTTGCCCTGAACGGGCGTTAGCCCAGCGTGCGATGCAGGGCCAGAGTGTGGTACCCTGCACACCCAGAGCTGGAGCAAAGAGCATCCTCCCTCGCTGCAGACTTTCTTCCCCCCAACCCTGCCCAAGCCTTCAAGGTATGAGTTGAATAGAAAATTTGTTCCTCCTATATATATAATATTAATTTTTTGAGACAAAAAGTTCTCAAGTGCGATTGCTGCGAGAAACTAGAAAGCTACATGTGGTAACTCAGTGATATTCTTGGGTTTTTGGCATTCTGCTTTTGTGTCTATTAATAATCCCCCAGAGTGAGTCATATGGAGATGCATTTATTCACTGAGTCGGAGAGAGCTGCTACCCAAAATAGCAGCTATGTAATTTTTTATGATGCTGTAATGCCAGTACGGTGAAGATTGACATCATTTAACAGAGATGCTCTCTGCCTGGTAATCGGATAACCCGTGTCAAACCCTAAAATAAATGTGGAAAGCCACATGCTTGGTTACATAAAAGAGCTGCGAGAGCCGGCCTGTGTCGGAAATGGCTTTTTGCCCTTTCCTGCACATCTTTTGCCTTTTTTTTCCCTTACGCCTTTCTAAGCTGCCTTTGCTGATTTTCTTAAACCAGAGTGTGAGGAGTGCTGGGCCAGAGGAGGGACTTTTGCCGTGGAGGGATCACACGTGTGTAAGGACCAACATTTACTGTGTTACCACCCTGCCACCCGCAAGGAGGAGAGGTCTATAGAGAAATCCCAAAATGCATCAAATTCAGTACAACCAGCTCTGAATTGTTCATCATTTCTTCTCGCCCACATTGCCGCTCCACTGGCAAACCTCCGAGCATCTCTTTCAGCCGGGGGTCGTGCCCCAAACCCAGTAACTCCTTCCCAGCCCAGTGCTCGCAGCCCGCGAAGGCGATGGCAGCGCCTGGTGAGGGGCACGAAGGCAGAGAAATGCTCGGGTGGGGTGTTTTAAGGATTGGTGGAACTAGTTTTCCGTATTTCTTCTTATTCTCTGCCCTACACTGCTGCCATCAGGTCTGTCCTGGTGTCGCAGCCGGTGGGGTGGCTGAGCCGTCCTGGGGTGGTCCCGGTGCTCCCCGAAAGCACGTGCGGGTACCACTGAGTACTGCGCCTGCTTTTTTTCACGATTTTGGCTTAAATGCCTCTGCAGTCGGAGCAGGCCTGGTGTCATGCCATCACGCTGTGCCCTCCACCAAAGGATTAATAAAGATGAATTTGCCCGCAATGGGGTTTAACATCCTGGGTGAACTTTCCCAGGCAAATGGTGTTTTATAGGACCATTCCAGCTGGAAACGTTTATTAACATTACCTTTTTATGTAGCACTTTTAGGAAGAAAATGGGACTCCTGCCACTGGCAGCTTCAGGCTGACGTGAACGATGGATCTTGGGACATGCAGCAGCAGCCGAGGCTGAATTTTGGTCAGAGCCGCCGAAGTTCTCCAGCTTTGAGTGACCTAACTGGAAAGTGGAAATGTGAAAAATGGAGTAATGGCCCATCAAATGCAGCTATTGGCATAAAGTAATTATTAAGGATAGGTTTAGTAGGAGCTGTGACATACCAATGCTGCTGTGCTTCCCTTACACTTTGTGCATCCGTGCAGTGGGAGTCCCTGCAGGCAGGAGCATCAGGAATGTGTTCAGAGCCAGAAATAACTACCAAAATACTCCTGATTTCATGTTATAAAGGAAATACAGAGAGAGGCAGGGCTGGGAGGCACCCTAGCTGTTAATTTTGCATAGTATTTTTGCCTTTTCAGAGACCATCTTCAATGGGAGGGCAACTCCTTGTTACACCAAAGAGCATCTGGGCATCACAGCTGGCAAGGTGGTGGAGATGAACATGGAAAGAGACACCCAGGCCCTCCAAGGACTGTGGGAGGGTATTGCTAAGAGAGAACATTGATTCCTGTGAGACAGAGTTTTTCCCCCTTTTTTGGGTGTTTTTTTTCAATAAAAAGCAATGCAGTTTGCTGAGGGTTTGCTCCAAGGTCTCGTTATCCCAGTTACAAGAGAGAGACTTTGCTGCTGTTTGTGGCTCTGCTCTGACCTCCCAAGCCCCATCCACCACCCACGAGGCCCCAGCAGCAATGGAGGGCAACAGGTTAAACCCTCCTGCACAGGGTCTCAGGCCCTGGTTTCTCATGGTGAACATGTTGCCTGCCTGAGAGGACCAGGGTTATGCAGAATTGCTCCCTTTTCCTCTTTCCATCTCTGCCTCTTCACATGCTTCCTTGTGGTATTATCATTATTTTCATAAATTTAATTATCATATATTTATTACCATTATTTTAATCTTTTCTGCAAAGACCCAGGTTTGCGCTGGAGTTCTGAGAACATTTCTGTTTGCCTGGCTCTGAGTCATGGTGCCCTGCACTGACCTGTTTGTCTGTCCAGCCCCAGTGAAACACAGAGCCCGCACGTACAGCAGCAGCTGCCAATGCAATTGCAGGGTCAATAGACAGCAGACTTCTATCTGAGGAACACCTACTACTCCCGAAAGAAATAGATGCAAAGGAAACGTACAGGACTTCAAGTGTGTTGTTATATACCCCACAGACCAAAATGCTTTTTTGAGTACCCCAGCTTCAAGACCCTTCAAGGGCTGAGGAAGGCAGAAGGTGCCTTTGCTCCAAACTACTTCAGTCCCTGAAGTCCTGATGCTCCTGTAACAGTAGGCTGAAGAAATTTAGCACTTCATTGGCAAGGCTGGTAATGGTTTCTACTTAATGGATGTCATAAAAGCTGCTGAACACTTGAACAAGGACTTAAATTTAGGGCTCCTGCATCTTTTATTTTCTTAATCCTAACTTCCATGGAGGAAAAGCCCATTAGGAGTACAGGTGTCAGAGAACAGCCGATAACAGAAGAGGGATGACAAAGTATGTTTCCTCTGAGACTTACCCAATCAGGCCTAAGAGAGACCTGTTGTGGTTTTTTTCAATTCTAATGAAAACAGGATCAGAAACAGTCATACTTTAAATGAACTTTCGAGGATCTGTACTCTCACTGCAGAAATGGATTTAAAACAAATAAATAAATAAATGCCCAAGTCAAAGAATAATAGAGGTTGAAATAATCCAATCAGATGAGGTTGCTGAGAGCCTTTCCAGTCCACTTTCAATTTTATACTGAAGGCGTTGCTTTGATTATTTATAGTATCTCAGTGTTTGGCCACCCTCACAGGGAAAAGTTACCCCTTATTTCCGAATTTCCTGCACTGCAGCATGTCTGTCGCTTTCACCCATGGCTGTGCACCTCTCCAGCCTCCTGGCAGCAAGACTGCACACCTGCTTCATCACCAGCACTCACCATGGCCCTGCCTTTAACCTGCTCCTGGCTCCTGCAAAGCTGCTTCTGTGCTCTGCAAGAGCCAAAGATGGGGCTAAGTCCTCCCAGATGCAGAACTCTGAAATTCCCAGCAGTGCTTTCTCCTGCCTTTCAAAGACCCCGCGTAGCAGTGCTGCCTGCTGGGGCACTGACCGCTTCTCCAGGGTGGTAGCCAGGAACTTGCTGAGCCTCATTAAGGTTGCTAATAAAGACATGGGACAGTGCTGGTACAACTACCAAAGGCCTTGCTAAAAATCAAGGCAAAGAGAGCCAGATGGGCAGTTCAGGAGTTAGTGTCAGTTTAGCACAGCTTGACCAGAATATTTACATTTTATTAAATTCTTTACAATCAGCAATTATAATCGAGTACACAATTATGTACATGGATTATATACATTTTAGCCCAGACTTTTACATCACAGTACATAGTTGCCCTTAGAAATATTGTATACACTTATCACCAGACAGTAAAACCCAACAATAGTGTTACAGCACCTGTTATTAGACATCTTTTATAAGAAAATATACGGCTGTAAATAGGGCTGGCTAAAAAAAAAATAATCTTATAAAATCTGAACATACAATATTTCATTCACAGAATGTTTTGTTTGTTTTCTATGTTCTGACTGATGCATAAGATGTCCCATTTTTAACCTCTCGACATACATTTACTCATGCCCACCGCTATGCCTTCAGGTACGCTAGCAGGAGGAGGACAACCAAAGCTGGGCTCATTTTGAAACTTCATTAAGAAACAATAAATGTAAACAATTAAGAAGAATCCTCTAAGATCAAATGAGAAATTAAGTGGCTGATCTGAATTACATGGCATGGAATAAGTGCTAGTTCCAGCTGTGATTCCTGAATTCTTCAGTGTTCAATACCAGTCAAGTAAATGTACAATACTATACAAAGAAAGAGGCAATTACTGATTAATGATATATGAGCAATATTCTACATGGAGGGAGCAGACTTCTAGAAATTTGGGAAGAACACTTACTCCCCTCTCCAGAAGGTTGTTTTTTTTTTTGATGAATACATTCTTTTTGCTTTTTACGATGACAGTGACGGAAGACTGAATTATTTCCAGAATGATATGAAAAGGTTAAACTAAAGCCTGTTTCCTCATAAGGAAATACAAAACAAAAATAACCTGAATATAACTGCCCCCCCCAATTTAGTCCTCTTTCCCAAAGGTCAACCTTACCCAATTCAGTTCTGTAAACAAAGCTATGGCTGTCACGATGGTTTCAAAGGTAATGTAGAACAAACTGAAACAAACAAACAAAAAAAAAAAACAAAAGGAAGGAGGCAACAGTTATCTGAGGTAGGCCACCGCCAAAATGATGCTTCAAATCCATACGGAGTTCTGGGATCACTTGAAATCCCTTAGAAGGAGAGCTAATGTCTGCTGCTTTAGCAATACAAGTGGAAAAAACAGTTAAAATGAGCTGGTGATGGCAAGGAAAGTGAATCTTTTAATAAAATTTTACATCTACACCTAAATTTTCTGCAAGTAAAAAACAAAACCTTTAGTTGCTATATTGACAGTCTTAACATAGTGACCAGAGGGCCCCTATAGCTATAAATATAATTCTATTTCCATCAAAAGAGCTAACAAGTATGAAGATATAGTCTATGTCAAAGAGCAAGGAACAAAAATGCTCCTTTTGTGGCACTAAGCACTGACAGATCAAAGGAATTATCAGAGTGAAAACTTTTGATCTGCACCTGATGGTTTTGATCCTGCAGCTGACTGTACTTGGCCACGTCGCTTCAAGCCCGGGCACTACCAGGGGAGCGCAGCATCTCTCGGGTGCGGCCTGGGGCTCCAAGTAACGAAGGACACTTAAAAGGCTCCCATGATCAAATGCCTTGCATGAAGAAACTCTCATAACAAAAAACATAAATAAAAGAATTCTCAACTGAAAAACCCCAGCTGCTTCAAGCCCTACTCATTCAGTCCAAACCTCCATACAGTTATTTGTGCAAAGGAATTACAACTACATTTAAAAGCTAATTTATTTAAAAGGACACTTATTCACTATTCCACTACCGCTTCATTTCCTCCTCAAAATTACCTCCTACTCTAGTGATTTAAAGTTACCATTCAGTTTATGGATAATATTCTGATTGACTGTCATGCTCTCAAAAGGTGCCTGTGCATTTTGATACTCTTGAAAGCAAGTGTCATTAAGTATACATGTATACAACATTTGCCTGGGATTTCTCCATTCACACTGTACAGGAGTACACATAAATACATACAGTATGGCTGTACTAATTAACAGTTGCATATTCAGCACGCATAATTTCACCAGCTAAATGAAAGGTGCAATTCAGATTGGGGTTTGCTTTTTTTTTTTCTTCTTTCCATTGTAAAGATGAATATAAACCTTCATTTTTAGCCTGGTGCAGCATATAGGCAGTGTTAATTTACTCTTTAATATAAAAGAATTCTTTGAACAACAATTCACTAAAAGCAGTTTTATATAAATCAAGTTAATTAGTTTTTGGCAGTTTCTTTGGACACAGTCAAAATGTCTCTCAGTTGTTTGAACATCCCCATTTTTATTTAAATAATGTTTTTCATAATAGGGATAACAAATTAGGACTCACACTTACCTGTAACAAACTCCCGAAGCCCAGAGTAACATACCAGTCATCCTCGCAGTTCACGCCACTATACTTTGAACTATGGACCCAACAGCCAAAATTGTTGCACTTCACTATTGGTACTGGCCTCATTGCCTTAAGTATCACACATATAGAAGTTGCATATAAAAAGAATGACAACAAAGTCAAGCTGTTAGAAGTCAAACTTGTAGAAAAAGGAAGATTTTGTTATAACTGATCTAGTTCTGTTTAGTGTCCTCTCAGAGAATATTGCCAGTTTAGATTCCGTATCTCAGGGTAGAGTGAGGTTTTTCAACCTGCAACTCAACATCTGCCTTGTCCACTTTACCTTAACCTCGAGCATTAACTTTCACAACACACCACAAACCTTTATCTGGCAGACCCCAAAGCTGTCCTAGTTTCCCTGATAGAACCTGCTTACAAAGTACACATTGCCTTTGGTTCATAGTTTCTCTAGTTGAAAGCAGAGCTGAAGGGAACACTCACATGTCATGACAGTCGTTCTTCATGGTAACAGATGGAAGGAGTGATGAGCAACACTGCTATGTCTCAGTATGATATGTCAGGACAAAAATCAAACTGCTTCTAGCTGTCTCTTAGACAGGACAACTGGAAACAATTTCACCTGCTGCTATCAATGAAGGCTTTCAACTCAGTAGAAATCAGTGTAAGAGCACCTTTGCTCCAACCAGAACAGTGGCTGACCTACTGCCTTCAAGTGCTCTCATCGATAACCGTTACATGGTATGTTAACCCCATTGCGTTCAACTTTTGCTTTCCAGAGACCAAGGGAGTGTGACCTCTCAGAGCCTGGAATGCAGAAGTCAGGCTCGTTCCCTGAAGGAGCCTCCTGGGTTACAGCACCATGCAGTGGAGCGAGACAAATGCTTCAATTGCACATTCCCATTTTTAAACAGGAAAAATTAAAACAATACAAAGAGCGTGTGCTGGATTTCTGTGGTAATTTCCAGGTGAAACCTGGTTGCTCATCACAATACTGATTATGTTTTCTAGTTCTCAGATATTGGGGCCTCACTTCTACCCAAAGAGTTCTCCATTTGTTTACTAACAAATAAGTTATTATTACAAGTCATAGCTCATCCTTTTCCATCATTTCAAATGCTTCAATATCTTCATTCCAGTCTGCTAATATGGATTCCATAGGTTGGACTTTATTATCCCAGTTAACTTTGGAATTTGACTCTGCCTCAGTCTTTTGTTCCTGAGGCTGGTTATCCCCTTGCGTACATGCTGGCTCCGGAGCACCAGCCTCATCAGTTCCAGGGACACAGGAATCCTGATTTGAAATGGAAACGCTGTCACTGTCTGCATTAGCAGGAGATAAAGAATCAGGGTCAGTAACATCAGAGCTTTCTCCTTCTTCAGGCTCCTCACTGACTGCACCAACATCCTGAGATGCTGAAGTAGCTTCTTCTGCATTCTGTTTATGAGAATCATTTTCAGACAATTTCTGGTCCATATTCTCCATTTCTAAGTCTTTGAGAGGGGAGAGAAAAAAAAAGTTTTGAAAAAAACTAGGAAGGCAGCATTTTATTATGTATTTCAAAAGCGAGGTCACTTCTCTTGGCCTTATTTCCTCAAGAAAGTGCAGACTTTCCATTGATATGAAAATTTAATGTTAAAGGAACATATTCTACAGAGGAAGAAGCGGAAAGACATTTAAACACATTTTAAACGAGGGCAAACAATATTGTGAGACTAATTTTGGTTCCTCAAACTTGAATAGTGACTTCTGGGTCAGTGCTAGTTACCATCCTTCAGTCTTAAGCAAATACCCACTGTGTGCACTGAACTTCAATACCAGATTTTAAAGCACTCCCAGATCCACCAGGATCCCACATCTAAGCAAGCGGGAGACAGAGTTTCATAAGTTTACTGAACTGTGAATTAAAGAGACCCAAAGCCAAAACCTCCCTCATCACATCCCCACTCAAAGCAACTACATTATCTCAAGTACCGATTTAGCTTGTAATTTTACAACAGCTGTCCGTTTTAACCATGCAGATTTCTCTGGAGTTTGATGTTTATAGCTAGTGTACAGGACATCAATATTTCAGGACTTCTAGGGAGTTTAACTGCATACGCCATGTTTAACACGGGATACTTACTGCTATCAATAATGTAGTTTGGAATCATTTTACCTTTAAAGATTGTTGCTGGGATTCCAAATGGAAGCACGAGGAGGGGGGGAAGAAGCAGATATGGATTACAAATTCTCAAATGCAGAGCTATCTTTTGTATTTAGTATTTTGTTAGAACAGCTTAACCATAGTTATAAACAGGAGGAATTTGTATGCAGCAATCAAGAAACAACATTGTAGCTTTTGGCATTATCACCTTTGCAGATGTGCAGAAAATAAATGCTGTCACTGGTTTACTAGAGATACTTGTTCTTACATACTCTGCTTGGACAAAGCAGTGCTATGAGGAAGGCTTACAAAAGGAAAACCTATAATTTTCTGCCATATGCAAACATTTTAACTGGGAATGTATTAGCTTGCAATTTCCCTGTATTATACAATAAAAACTGCAAAATATCTGAGGTCAGCAGCCTTATTGCTCATGATAACCACTTCTCCTTAGATAAGCAAAATAGTTATAACAGTTGTCTCTTTCCACAATGTCACTGGGGAGCTTGGTAAGAGAGAGGCATTTACAATGTAGGGCACTGAAAACACTTATGCTATTCCTGACACCACTTCAAAGCTGATTATGACAAAAAGGGTTCAAAAGGAATCCAAAAAGGCTGTATTTTCTCATTAGTCAAACTGACATTTACCTTATGAACAGCATTTCTGGATGTTAATGTTAACTTGGGGCGGGGAGCGGATAACGACACATCTCAGATAATGGCTTTCTTATGAAAAAAATAATACCAATGTCAAAGAACAGAAAACTAGAGCTACCAAATAACACATATTCACCTTTGGGTAGCAGTAGAAATCACTATTGTACATTTCACATTGTGCCACGGCACAGATGGAAGCTAAATTTGTATAAATAACCTCTGACCTTACCTCTGTCTTTTGCTTTATCAGAAAGGAGCACCTCCACAGCCTCATACTCCCGGATTGCATCCAGTATAATGTTTCCTTCTTTGTTGAAGAGGAAGAGCATGGGAATTGTGATATCATCTGTGTTTTTTCCATCACCGGCCATTTGGAAGAGAGGAGCTGTGTCACTACTGCTTCCCTCATTGTCATCTAGCCAGAGGCACACAAGAGGAAAAGCGGCAAGCCTCCTGTTAGATAAACAGACTACAATTCTGAAGTTCAGCAGACTTCTTGAGCAGCTTTCTACTGCCCAGTCAGTTAAGAGGATCCCAGGCAGGAAACAGTAAGTTGGTTGTAAAAAGCAAAAAGCCAACTTGTGTACTTGTTTTCCTTATCATTTGTATCTCAAGTCTTCCTCAGCAGTTAGTAGACAGCACTATTGCAACACTCAGTGATCCTTAAAATAACAACTTTTAATCTGCAAAAACAGTGACAATCACCCATCCCAATTTGTTTAGCTACACTTTCTGCGCAGAACCAGACAAAACCAAAACATCTCTTCATCTTCTGAAAGCACAATTTCTGTGTTGGAGTACTGTCATCTCAGAGAGTTTAACAGCTCTCTGGTATCTTCAAATCTGTAAAATACAGGTTACATCTACACAAACTTAAGATTTTAAGAACTTAAAAGATTTACCAATAACAATGCCTCCTATTGCTCCAGCTTTTTGAATGTTTCGTGCCTTTTCAGCAAACATACACTGGCCTCTTTGCATCAGAGCAATTTTCTCTTTCACTGCCTCAGGATTAGTGATCTCTGAGCATCCATTATATGGCTTAATGGTTGCAACAAATCCTCTTGTCTGTTTGGAAAAAAAAAAAACCAAAACAGAAAGAGAATTAGAGCACTAGGTTCAAGCTTGCAAAAGATTCCTAAGCATTTTCATTTCTTCAGTTAATGTAATGCATTTAGTGTTGTCTTCTGTCAGTGCAGGCAATCTTTACCCTGACGCTGGAGTTCCAAGAAGCAAAGAATGACTGAGTGAAAACCTAATTCTCATATTCAGTGTCCCTGTCATTTTAACCACTGTAATCAATGGGTCACCCTCTAGTCAGCCACCTTGAAATAGTAACAGTACTGTAAAATTTAGGCTTGTGCAATAAGGAAAGTAACAGATCACATACATATCTTACATACCCCTGCTTTGTGTTTGGATAAGTCCATCCCAAATTGTGCTGGTCCAGCAGTCAAGACGACCCTGCCAAAGAATGGATGGGAAACAATTTGGACAGCACGAGGAGGTAGCTGTTGCTCTTTCTGTTGCTGACTGGAGAGTTCAATCATTTCTTGCATGAACCGTAAGCCATCTTCAGCATCAAGTGAACTTGCTGCCTGAGTAGTAAAGAAACGATAAACAGTTTCTTCTTAAATGTTTGAGAAACTTGAAAAAAATTTGAAAATCAAAGTTATGTTTACTTGGACCACTGCTACAAAGATTTTAAAATACAGAGTGGATGCTCACTGGCGCTCATTCATCATTTCAAATAAGGAAGTTAACCATTTTGTGCCTCCATCACCCAAAAGACTAAAAGCATACAAACATAGAAGATGTCCTAAACAAATGGAAGTATCTCAGACTGAAAGCCAGTATTTTCAGATAAGATGCTGTCAGCTACATCACTAAGTACTGTCAGGTCTTACTTGCACTGCATGCTGTACTAATTGTACTCTTCCATCCTTCAGATGAATCAAACTGACTCCCATCTTCTTCAGTATCTCCAAGTGTTCAGGATTACTGGCCATGAAATCTCTGGCTCTCAGTGGTGGTTTTGGTCCACTTCCCAAACTGTCTTCTCTGCCAAAAGATATTAAATATCAAAGCTTTAAAAACCTGATTATTCTGAAAACATAACTCTCATGTTATTCCTACCACCACAAGATTAGAATTCTTTGGAATTGGAATAAAAATAATTTGGAATAATGTGGAGTACAAGCTTCACTAATGCAACTTCTCAGTCAAACTATCTTTTTTAAAAGTTGTCGATTTTATCAATAATTTTGTAGTGCAAAAAAGCATATGCAATGCTGCTAACAAACCTACCATATGCTAATCTCCCATTTCTAAATAGTCTGCATTATTGTAAGACTGACTAAAAACAATCTTCCTCATACAGCTGCTACTCAGTTTTACTCATGAAGTAAAAATAGCAAAGAGGTGGTCAGAAGGATAAACTTCCTCAGCTTCAACAGACTGTCCTAAGTTCTTCAAAGTAGGTGAAGTTATGCCTTGTAGCATGATTTGCTACAAAGAATTGCAGAACCATTCAAGACACTACAGAAATTAATTTTACAAATCTGAGACACATACTTCCTGTAATACCTGGGCTACAATTCCCACTTGGAATATGTGGCTCATTAAGCTACTTCTGCTTTGACAGACTCGCCAATTCCTGCTGGAAATGAACTAAGTCTTGCTGATGATGCCAGAGAAAACATAACTGATTTTTCCCGTAGCTAGGCTAGCCATTCCGAAAGGACTACAAACTCAAACAAAGCAAGCTCCAGTACACCTCGTACTTCTCCTTCCATGCATAGCAGACCCTATTCCACTCACTCCTACACTAACAAAAGACAGAAAATATTCATCTTACGCTCTGGAAATACCCCTAGGACAGCTCTTATCCACCACATTTTTCAAAGGTTCACGAATACTTTGAGCAAACATAGGGTCATTTGGGAAAAGAATCTGGGTGTTTGGACAGGTCCAGTCAAAGTTGCTGTCATCCAGCTCTGTGTATTCTGTAGTCTAAAATGAAAGATACAGATCACCTATTAAAAATGCAGGTTACATTTTTATACAAAGAAAATCAACAGACAGACCTACCCTTAAGTAACCTGTGTACGTGGGACATACAGCAGCTGAACGTAATAGATGTCCTACAACCACACAGATTTCAGGAATGAATAATACACCACTCTTCTGTGCCACACTTTTGTAATAATAAAGGGTAACCAGTGCACTACAATCTCTTTCTACGGATAAATAAATACAGCACCAGTTCCAATTTGTAACTTACCAAACTTGTATCCACAGTTTCCAGAAATTTTTTGCAGAAACAGCTAACCTCTGCTGGCAAACAGAACTTCTCAAGCCTGCTCATGACATAGCTAGCGCCCCTGTACTTTTATGTGCTGGACAACTAAAGGAAGTAGTTACAGTTTCATTTGATATTGCCTTTATGTTGAGTGGACCAATTGTAGGTCTTAGGTCATTCTTGCTTTGTATTACTAAGAACATCACATCTTTTCATACGAACAAAAGATTATCCTCCTCAGGAGCCACACAGATGAATCTATATATAAAATCAAACAATCTCTATTTTCAGAAAAGATGACAGAGTTATCAGTTGCACACATCACTGTTTTGTAACACGTGAAACCATGTGGTATATGTACAGTGATCTGGGGCCATATTTAGCCTGTTCTTAGTTTTGCAAATAATTGGTTGGATAACTGGCCAGTTAATTTTCCGACCTATAAAAATTAATGTAGTATTTATCTACTTGCAAAAAATAATTAAAAAACCAAACCCATTTGCAACATATTAGCTAATTAAAAATCAAGTATTTAAAGGCTCCCTAAAAACCAAGACCTAAAAAGGTATTAGTTTACCGGAATAAACACTTCAAAGTACCTTATGCTCTTAGCGTGACAAATAGTGGTCACATCACTTAAGAAAGATGATCTTGCAAGCGCTACTGCAAGCATCAGCATAGTAAGACATGACCTTTCCTGTTTATGAGAATAAATACAAACAGGATGTTGGGTGGATACTACCAACTATCTCACAGACATTTCAGCTTAACAGCACTGTGTTTATATTAAAAATACTTTACACATTCCATTTTTTCTTATCAATTTTTTTCTCCATCAGATAAATTCCATAAAAGAGTAACACTTGTCTTCACAGTCTTTTAGCCATTTAATGCGTTTCATTGACACCATTTTCAATGGATCTTTCTTCCTTGTATTATGCACTTTAGCAGCTTTGACTTAAAGAGATTAAGAAAACCGCATTTGAACAATTTACTCTATCCTCTTTATTGGCCTTTTATTAACATTTGCAGTTCTCAAGAGAACTACATATGTTAGGCCAGCACTTCACACAGCATGAGCTGTGGAAATCCTGTCTGTCTCAAAAGTATCAACTTCTCATGTTGGGAACAAAAGTTATATAAAATGCTCCTTCAGACTCTTCAGAGAACTTCTTGCATAGTTTAAAAAACATAGCCTCCATTTCCAAAACTCAAAGACAAAACATGATAAATGCTCAAGGAAAGAACATTTCAGAGAGGGTGCAGGATCTCCACCATCAAGGAACATGAAAAACCAACCCCATGACCCATTAAATGTCTTACCCATGTTAGACATTAAGAGCAAGTAATTAAAAATTTTTCACTGTGTAATGGTAGAGTCCTTAAAACTGCATGCTTTCTACTCAGTTTTAAGATTTCTCCAGAACACGTCTTGACAAACAACATGAGCATTTTTCCTCTGATCCAGGCTTTATTGTAAAACACATATTAAAGGGTAAAAATAGAGGCACACTAACAAAGGGGAATTTACATCCCTGAGGCCTTAGACACCTCTCTCTCCACTTTCTTATGCATTTCTTTTACTTGCCAGTAGTATTATTGCCTTAAAGATAAATTATGACAGCTTACTGAGCACAAAAAAAAAGACTAGTATTTATGATGCTTCATGGCACAGTTGTATTACTATAGGTTATTTTGGAAGGTTAAGTAATTTATAAACCCATACACGTTCTCACATTTACACAATAGATGCCTATTGCATGGACTAAACCAATTAAATATCCCAAAAGCTAGAGCTGTATCTTGTCTAACTTTCAACCTTTCAAAAAAACCTTTCAAAAACCTTTCAAAATTTGCCAAGGGTTTGTGTAGTAAAATAAGCAACAAAAACTTAGCATGTTGTTGCAAATGTTTTAGAAAAAATAATAGAAAATAAAGATGAAGACAAAAATATCATAGCGTGTTATTTTCAAATTTATACAGAGATGGGGCGGGGCATGATTTTCTTTTTAAATATTGATAATATTCCACAGCTTTTTTCCCCAAGATTCAGTGGTGCAGAATCCAGTCATGGAAACATTAGTCATATTCATGTGACTGTCACTGTTAATATGAAGAAATAGTTCACATTAAGTGAAGTGTTAAAACTGGCGTGCATCTTCAAACTATGATTTTTCCTGATTTTATTTCCATTTCCTCTCATAAAAAAAGGAACTGCTTCAAAGCACCACTAAAACTGATTTAAATTTGAGCTATTACTTACTGTATTTTTTTTAGAGATAGTTTGGTTTGTAGTGGAAAGCCAAAGTGGTAATAGATGAGCTTCTGTAGTAAAGATATAATCTTCAATGTCGAAAATCATGTCTTCCTTATCAGCAAACAGCAGATAAAGATATTTAAACATCTCGGCCAGAAAGAAAGAGTCCATTCTATGGAAAAAAATGGATGTCTTTTAGGAATATCCCCTTTTCTCTAAAACATCAGTAAAACAAATACTCATATTTCTCCACCTCTGGAGATTTCATGACTATTATTATTGAACTTAATTCTATTAACATTCCTTCCACTTGGAAGAAACTATGTTTGGAGGGAAATGATTCAGCATGTTCAGTACAGAACAGCATTATAGAAAAAACAAATAAACCTCTTTAAAAACTCCTAGAATTGAAGTATATTTTGTTTGAAAGTAATTAATCTATTGCTCCGAGACAAATGAAACATTATTAAACTAAAAATATTCTTATGTAACAAACCATAAAACTATTGAAATAGTTTATAGACTATGACAAACAGGTAATTTAAGACTTGGTTATCAACTGAAGAGAAACAGCTACTCAAAAGTCAATTAATTCAATTATATAAACAGTGTAATTAATTTTTTTGGTAATCTTTTTATGAAAAAAAAAAAAAAATTGCAAAAACTTTTACCTGTCTTCATGACTTCCTGTACGAACATCCTTCATTGCAGCAAACCCACAAGGTACTCTTGCATACTTGTTCAAGTTTTCAATGAGTGTTTTTCCTACTTCTAGATAGTAAGGGTCACCAGTAGCCTATAAAAGAAATACAAACAAAAAACAAACCCAAACATATAGATGCACTTAGACTTACTGTACAATTAGCAGGTTTCGTTTTCCTAATGCTAATTTATTGATTCCATACCTTCTCAGACACCAGTAAAGTCCAATTTATTAATAGTGCTAAACAGTCACAAGAGAGACTTCTGAGATACTGCTGCATTACCTTTTCCGGAGATGCAGATAAGCACATGGAAATACTTAGAGAAATGCAAGACATTTAGGCACTGCTCTTCTCTGCAAGGTACAAATGGCTTTTGCTCTTAGTCTCTAAGATCTCTTTAAGAGAGATCAGCAACACCTAAGTATCTTTAAAAATATGGGCCTTTGTCACTTAACAGTTTTCTTTCTAATTCTAGGCATATTAAAAAAAATTCCTAGAACAATTTTTCATAACCAATACTTTCATCTTGTTTATATACAGAACTGGCTCCAGCAGATAAAATAAGCTGGAGTTACACTACTCATTCTATATTGAAATAAAACATCAACAAAATTCTAGGTGCTAGACAAAGTGACCAAAAGTCAGAGGAATGAAAGTGATCTTACCTTATACAAGAAGTAAGTGCTTTCAGCAAATTCAGGCCTTAAAGGATGCTGAGCCCAGTGAACTCTAAAGTCTGTTGTGAATGCCTGAGGAAGAAAAAGAACAGACAAAAATAAATGCAAGAATGAAAACCAAACACCTGTTTATTTTGAATCCTACATTAACTGTATTACAACAGCTAAAGTACACACAACAGTGGAGGACTGAAAGCCCAACATCGATCTTGGGATGCTACAACCACGTCTGTCCAGTTAGTACAATTTAAGGCCAAAACCTAAACCAGTGCTCTAGCCCACTTAGCATGAGTGAGATTTAAGCTTGTGTTAGTGCAGGACTCCAGACACCACCCACCCTCTTGACAAGTGTCCAGCAAGTGGAGTTCTGGCAAGAGGTGCCAGATGAGAACTTGCGCTCCAGACCCAGGAGGCAGCACACAGCCTCCCATTGCTCCCACCAGCACAAGCACACAACTGCTACTGCAATCCAAACAAAGCAGCCTGTTGAAGGGCCACTACATAGAGACCACCTGAACTTTGACAAAGACCATTTCTGCAAACACACCTGCCACTTCCAGTGCATTAAACTGTCATTTCAGACTGACAGATGGTAAAGCAGCTGTTTCCAACATAAGAAAACTGACTTCTAGTCTGTGGTATATCTAAAATTTTCCTAGTCCATGTATTCACTCTTAATATGCACTGACAAGAGCCACTTCTGTAATGGCTTACATTCACTACTAGTTCATACTAGGGTTTAAACTAAGTCTTTGCTAAAGAGGATGGCATATTGGCTTAAATACAACTAACTGATCTTTCAAAGTTTCCTTCATAAGCACAAAGCATGGAAAAAACAACCCCCCAAAACCCTAAAAAGCCAAATCATACCATTTTAAAGGCACTCAAAAAAAAAAAATCATTCCAGTGCTTAGAGAGCATTCTTTGGTCTCAATATCCACATTAGGTGAATGGGATGTTAATTAAAATGTTCTCTAAAAGAAATAAGCTTACACCAGAGGAAGGTAAAAATTAAAACTGGAGTCAGAAGCTTTCTCATATATTCTGGATCATCACAAAATAAAGACACACACTTCAGAAGGTAAACAAGCCTTTGTGCAGAATCAACTTGCTCAAAGACTGCACTTGCAATATCTACAGGTAAGTTTGTGTACCTACTTTCAAGGACATTATGCAAAATGTCAGAACATTCTCTCAGAACAATTCAGTCTTTAGTTTCCCTCTTTGGGTTAATAAAGATGACTGATCTTTAGCATTAATGCTATTATATTACTAAGCACCTACTACTACATATGCTTATACAAGTTTTACATACTAAAATGAGTCAAGGTTAATTTAGAAAGGCTGAAATATAAAGGCTAAACAATTATTAATAGCAGCAGCTTCCTATTATTGTGTTAATTACAGCATAACTGAAGGAAAAACATTTCATATCCAAAACACAGTTGTCATACGTGCAGAACTGTAAATCACATAAGAATGCTGTGGAAATGAGCCTTTGGTTTTAATAACACATATACCTACTATTTTTTCAAATAGATATCTGAGACTGCTCAAGTTGAGGTAAGAATCAGTTTACATGATCAAAAAATTACTACCTTACCTCTGGAAGAAAGTTATGCTTTTTTATAACCTGATACAGCATCTCATGAGTTTCAATAGCAGGTCTAATATCACCCTTCAGCACCTAAAATTAAATAACAAAATTAACACTAATTCACCATGCATAGGAATAATATTCAAAGTTAGGCACACTTGCTGTGTTCGTGTAAAGCTACAGACCAACTTCTACATTTCCAGGAGACACATATTGTAATTATTATTCCCTTTCAGTGTAACCCATAGATATTCCATAAGACCTTTTTAAGCAAAATCAGTGAGCTCATTAAGACTACTGCCTTTGTAGAAAAAGGATCTCTATCATTTACAGAGTACTCTGGTGGAAATGTGATTTAGTTTGTCTTAAAGATGTAAATGGCACACAACCTAGAAAATTTGTCACTGGACTACTAAAAAGGCAGCTTAATATTAGTGTTTTCATGACTAGGAGTGAAGGAAGCAAATCATATGGACATACTTTTCCTGATACTCAACATAGCCAGAAATGCACATTAACTTGCATCATAGCACTGAAGTGACAGGAGGAACGAGTACAGAAATCCTCATTCAGGATTTCTGAAAAATCAGATTACTAAGCTTGACTTATCAATATATCCAGCCTATTTAATTGTTTACTTGTTATTAAAATCATCTGCATGCGTGTTTTAAACCTTACCTGCAATCCAGGGAAGAAAGCTAGCAAAGAATCCATCCAGGTCCTAGCATTTAGCATTGGTTTATGAATATGAACATCAAGAAGAAGAGGTGGTTGGCTAATGTATCTCATTATGGCATCGTAGTGCTGACAAACATCAGAAAAATCATGAGTTTATATTATCAATACATTTTACAAGACAGACATAGATCACCAGACTATGGCATTTTATTTCAATGGGAGAACCAGTACTACACTCTCAATCATTATCACATTTGGCAATGCACAGTAGTTTCTAGTTTTGCAAACTAAAAAGAAGTGTAGTAAATACTGAAAAGCTCCACAGTATTACACATGCAACACACATCACATTTTCCAAGTAATACACATACACAAAGATGTAATTCAGCAGCCACATGATAAACAACTATCACAATTAAGGCACATTTGCTTTGGCTGAATCTTTAAGCACGCACTAAACAAAGCTGAAATTACTTTCTCTGAACAAGAGAATTCTAAAGCAAATGCATCTCAGGAGAAGAAGGGGAAAAGGAGGTATAAAAAAACCAAAGCAGCTGGACCTGATGGCTCAGAACAACTTTAAAACCCACTAGCTCACTTGTCAACTTGCTGACTTCCAATTCTATACTCCCCAAGATAACTGCCTGCCTTGTTTTCTGAAGCACAGAAGGTACAATCATGAGCACATGAGCCAAATCAATAGGAAATAGTTAACAGACATAACTGAGGCAAAATATAATAATGGTGGCTGCTTTTTAGGAATATGAAATAATCATTACACTTAAAGTGTTGCAACAGGTCTTTAGCTACTGAATTATTCCAATTTTAATATTGCTTATGATATAAAATCATGCTATATAAAATCATGTTTTAAAATGTTTTTATAGGATATTGTTATTTTCAAAAGAAAGAATACTTTTATGAAAGAATAACGATGCTGACAAAGTTGCTTAGTAATCTTAGGAATTTAGTAATCTAAGTGTGTTTTTCAGCTTGTAAGTATAATTAAATGTATACTGGGCCTTAGGATCTGCAGTGCAATGCAATCCAGACTTTGATTTTCAGATCTTTTTTGTTGCTCCAGGGCAGAAAGAAATTGTACCACAGCTTGTAACAAGAGGCCCTTACATTGTTTTACAGAAACATTTGCAGTATTACACTCTCCAAGGTGATCTTGAAATACAGCTTCTCCTGTACTGGAAACACAGAAAAAGTTCCAGAAAATTCCAGTTTTCATTGGATGGGGTTAAAATAGCTGCTCAGGTTGACAGTTCACCCAAGATTAGCAAGAACTTGTAAGTAAAAAGACCTGGCACTAGACACATCAGCAGTCACAGAAATTCTGCTAAAGATCTCTTTCATAGGCTTCTCAGGCTAACAGCTGACTGACAATACAATTAGTCTTAAATTTGTCTTACAGAAGGCACAAACCTGAGCAAGGTGTTAACTTACCGTGTTAAATCTTTCCAGGAAACTGTCATCTCCCAGCAAGACATAGGCTTTTAATAAATATTCATAATATGAATCTATTCCTGCTCCAACTCCACTATCTAGAAACAGCAGAAAATGAAAACGTGGTTTTACTTTAAGTAGCTACATGGATATTTTCCTTTGGTTTCATTTTGATTTTAAAGGCTCTTTCAGTAAGAGGAAAAGCCTTCTATCACTAGAATTAAGGCACAGATGGATGCAGAGACATAATACCGTATGTCTACACTAAAGGCTTTGCAATATCAGTGCACATATTAATATGAACAGACATGCAGTGAAGCCAGTTGTTTCACTTTTCTCATATGAAAATATTTCAACTGGCTGCCATAAACAACCACAGTCCTATTTATATTTTTCCTATGTATTTATAGTAGAATCTCCAAAAATTTATCCCAAGGCATTCCCTTCTCAGTATTAAAGTGAATCAGAGAACACTTCCTTTGCAATGAATAAAACTAGTTTCTCTACCAAAACACCCTTTCAGAGCAAAGCCAGGCTTCGTTGTAGCAGGTTTCTCCAGCACTGACATTATGTAACTCCACTTGCCTATGCCATTAATATTTACAAATAGTCTAGATAAGTGTTTTGGGGGCAGGTGGGGGTGTGTGTCAAGATTTTTCTCCTGCCCAAAACCACTTGTGGTCACTGATTCTGAGTCAGAATACCACACACCTTTCCGGACCCAGTCTCCAGTATGAATGTTAATAGTAACGCCCACTAAATTGCTGCTGCGCTGTCTCTTTTCCCAAATAAAATCAAGCGCTTTTCGTGCATACTCCTGCAACAACAAAAAATGCTCATTAAAGGAAATTAGAGAAACACAGATACTAAAGACTGTTATTATTTTGTTTATTGAAATTAAGATCCTAGGAAGTAATAAGATGTTTCATATCTAACAATTTTAAAACTCAGTATTACGCACACTTAAATAGTAAGAAGTTCAGTCCACATTTTATATAGTTATTCAGCTGCTGATTAGTAAGAATGGTGCTTGACTACACAACTATTTGCCAATACACTGTATGGTCATAGGCAAGTCAAATATCCTTCTGCATAGGTTTCCTACTCTAAAATTGTGCATACAGATGGGATAGTGTAACCTAATTAAAATATTTCAAGAAATATAACATCCTTAGAATCAAAATCACTGTCTTTTCAGACATTTCAAGGTGGAGCAGCAACCCTTGTTCATTAATATACAAGTTATATACATTCTTTTTATACACAAAATTAACTTCATGTAGCAACCTACCCAATAAAAATGGCTTTAAATCACCAAACACATGCATGGGATTTTAGGGGGCAAGTTTTACCAAAACACAGAACGTAGGCCCAGCTATGCTTCCACTGGGTTCCATGACATGAAATGAAATACCAGGCCCATACTGAAAGATTTAAAAAAATTTCTAATCTGAAAAAGAGCTTGCCTTTTTTTTTTTTTATCAGATCAAAGAAACCATACCTGCAAGCATTTTCATTTAGCTTTCTGCTGACAATATAGCCTTAGGCAGGTCTTGCACATGCTCAGTGGGACTATAGAAGTGTGGGAATTTTTTTATTTTTTTTTAAGCTGCATTTTAAGGACCAAGTGTCTCACTTTTCTTCTTACTAGTCCTGATCCCTCTACTCAAAAACTATGCAAGCATTATCGTTTAGCTACTTTTCAGTATATTTATCTTGTTTACTTCTGTATTACTACTTTCAAACAAAATTATTTCCTGTGTTTTTTTAAAAAAAAACAAACACCAAAACTTAGAAGAAAGCTCACAAACACAACAAATCTGAACACACAAACTTTTTGTGCAGAACAGCCAAGATGTGCACCCATTTCATGAACTCAAAATTGTTTTTCCAAAATTACAGAAATGTAACAGAACACTAATGAATACCTAATCCAAAAAATAAGATATCATAGAAAGCAAACCTCAAATATAGATGTTCCTGTGAATCGGCTTAAAGCTGCAAACTCAAGGATCAAGGTACCCGCACAAGCTGTACAGGTATCAGTTTCTGTTCCTGTTCGTGCTTCTGGATGTCTTACACCAAATTTTAAGTTAACCTAGAGAAGAGTAGATACTATCATCTTTATTTTTACTAGCTGAAAGAATTTACACTCCCTTGATAATCAGTAGAGCAACTATATAATCTATGCTTTTTCTAAAGGTAAGAACAAAAGACCACATAGCCCCCTTCAGTTTTACTCTGCTTCACCACACACTGTCAAGTCAAACATGCACATAAAGTTATCCAGAAGTACCCAAAATACTCAACCCTCCAAAACAAGTACTGGCCCAAATACCTGTTGCCCGGTTCACTAGACATTTGAATAAAAGAATACTACCCTGAAAATCTAATTCTAGCAATTTATTTACCAGCAAACCAAGAACTCAAAACATCACAAGTCCTCATGGAAATTCAGCTTTGTAAGTATCTTGCTACTCCTGGCTCCAGAGAATACTTACTAGATGGACCTGCTTTTGTTGTCGGTACAATGTAGCTTTCTGCATTCTGGATGGACAGGGCCCTCTCAGCAGAAAATTGTCAAACCCTGAACATTTTGAGTTAGACATTTTCACTAGAAAAATGCTTATTTACTGAGCCTAGATTTTTAATTCATGGGGAAGTTTCCAATCAAAGCTACATCTCACAAACTCAATTGATGATGTGCACTGGAAGTAGTTTTCTGTCATTCAAAGACCATGTACCATGCTTTGTTTGAATTTGATGAAAGTTTTTACATTAAGCGAATATTTTTAGGTTACAGCTACCTTTGTTCTCTTATAAAAATGTGGATGTAGACCATGAAGATTAATCAGTTTTGTGCTAAATTCACAAGCATGTGCTTGCAAGTTGCTCTTTCACTGTCATAGTGAGAGATATGCACCAAAACAAAAATTACTCTCCTCAGCTACTTGGTGGTGCTTACAGTAGCAGGAAGCAAGAAATCAGTAGACAGTGATTAGACAAGATTTCTCTTGTTACTTTTTACCCACAACAATGTATATTAGAATTTTCAGAGCTGGAAATGTAGAGATTCAGAGCGCCTAAGACTTTATTTTAAAATACCAGGCATCGTATACTACAAATGAGCAATTTATCAGCTTTTGATTTTCTGTACACTTAATAAATATACAAATGATTTTAGAAACAGAGATAAAAACAAAACAACAAGAATTTTGCTTACAGAAGTAATCCTGAATTGCAGAAATGAGAGAACTTACTCTTGGATAAGGGAGACCGCTAGTGGTGTTAAAAGCAGGTAAAAGCTTGTAGCCTAGTTCCTTTGCCATGTGCAGAAGTTCACCATTGTACCACTGCATATATTCACCTTTTTCTTTCAGCATAATTGCTACTGAATGCCCACCTAGGAGACCTCTAAACACAAGAAAAATTATCCACATCTCAAAAGGTATATTCATCTGAATAGCAATGCAAAAATTTCTATTATTTAGATGACTATGTACATAACTGTGCTATATTCACACGGCCCTAATTTTCAGAAATGCTGAGCAGACACAACTCCCAGTTAGAATCAAGGTTAGCTGCCAGTATTTTGGGAGCAATTCATGTTATTTATGACTCAGTCCTAAACTGTAGAGGAATCACTGATTCATCAATATAGTTAGTCAAGAACAAACCAATACCTCTAGAATTGCATATCATAGCTTAAAACTAACCTGCTCTGACCCTGCGTTGAGCAGCAAGTTGGACTAGAGACCTCCAGAGGTCCCTTCCACCCTGAAATAATCTATTACACTAAGTATCAAAGTGTTCTATCCATTAAATCAAGTATTGAACAGTTTAAAAACTGTTTCCATTAAGAAAAAACACTACTACCTCAGCATGGACAATTTTTTTTAATCAAAAAAGCTACGCCTGCAGCAGTTAGATAGGGGTCAACTTGATTCAGTACCACTGCATCAATTCCTGTCTACCATTTTAAAACCTTTCTTAGGGCACATGTCGAGCTATGCTGACAAAGCCACAACTGTTTTAAATGAGCTGAAATAGCACAGAAAGGTGTGCCTTAAGGACATTTAGCTAAAGCACACATTTTTAAGTTTTGAAAACATAAAAGTTACTCACCCAAGGACTCTTATGTTGGTTTCAAAGACAGATACAACTATGTCGTTATCTAAATTAACATCCTTTATTACTTTTTTTACAGCCTCTTCAAACTCTTTGGTTTTATTTAACACCTGGAATACAAATGTAACCAGGTGTTTAGGTTCCAACACAGCTAATACAGTCACACTCAGGTGTAGAAGAACAAATGCAATGAATTAAAAGAAAGCATTTAACATGCCTTAGATTGATATTCTGGTCCTTCAGGGGCATACTCTGATACAGTGCAAACAGACATTAGTATTATTGTTTTTCTCATGAGATACATAAAAGAGAATAAAAGCTGTACACAAAGAATAAAGTCACTGAGAATGTACCTAAACTATTAGCCAGGGATTTATTTGTTTGTTCCTTCCCCTACTCGCACGCCATAACTGTAGTGCAACAGGACTCAGTGGGCTGCAGGCTGTGCTGGCAGAGTGGGAAAAGACTGGCCTGCTCTGATGCCTCCAACTTCACAGAGGCCTCCCTCCTATCCACAGACTAAGAAGCCACATCGTAAGTTCCATGAATCATCCTAGCAGCCTTCCTCCTCCCAACAGTTTCCTTCTTGTGCCTGAAGAAGAGCTCAGGCACTTCCTACAGATTTTCTTTCACACTGACTTTCTTTTAGTTCTATCGAACTTTAAGAATCTTTGTGACTTATCCAATTTGTTATCATAAGTGCCTTTAAATTCCACAAGCATTAATCCTGCTCTAAGACAAGAAAACAATAAATAAAACGCAATAATCCATTTGAGTGTCCAGTAGAGACTGGGAGTTCCAGACTCCACATTTTCAACATTTGTGGTCCTGATTAAAGAGACAAGGGTCACCTCAAAGCACAACATAAAAAGGGAACAGCTGTCAGAGAAAGAGCATTATATGATTCACACACTAAATCAGCACAGTAAGGATTTTCAAAACTTTTTACATTTACCTGTAGATGTGAATGGCCAAAAATTTCTGATTTCTGAACTCTATCTTATGATGACAAAACATGTCAAAGGGATTGAAATCTAACAAAAAGTAGTTTATTAAAGATTGGAATCTTTTAATAAGAGATGGAACCTAAGAAGTTTGGCAACATTTCCTGGCAAACATGTCCAGGGTTGCATTTTTTTAACAAATATTTAGGTGCATGCAAATTCATCCATGAAACAAGTATGTACAATTTAAAAACATAAATTAATTCGGTAGCTATTAAGAGGGGTTCACCTATAAGTCAGCATGTTGCTTTAAACTATAATGAGAAGCAAACTCACATACTTTTTTGTTAAGTTAGCGCCCAAGAAAAGCAAGATAAGAAAGCATCAATGAAATGTGAAGGAACTGTTCTAGTTTTCTTTTTGCAACAAACTCCAAACACCACCATCGCAGCACTTGAAAGTTCTTACAAGCAATAGCCACTTCAAACAGGTAGCCAGAGACCAAAGGTGAAGAAAAATTAGTATTTTTTATGTATAATTTAACAAAATAGAAATCTAAAAATAAGTCTGAGCATCAGAAGCCAATCTTTTTGTTTTATCAAAGTTCATCAATAGATTAAACTTACCACAAGAGTGTCCAAGGTATCAATCAAGGTCAGTGAAAATCTATGAAACAAAATTTAAAACAGATTTACTATAGACTTGTATGTGTAGAAATTAAATAATTTTTAATAGTAACCAATACCATGGAAGGAACTAAATTCTCACAGACCACTAGCTGCTAGAAAATAACACCCTACTAAGTTTCTTCCCTTTGTTAGTGACCAGAATAGGAGCTGACTGGAACAAGCTATGATTACAAATATACCTTTATTTACTGCAAAGCTTTCAAAATTCTTGTAAGCAAATTAAATTTTTATTTCTAGTCTCCAATCAAATCTACTAAAAAACCCAATAGAATGGTTCAAAGTCTTTTTCCAACCTCTTTTTTTCTTTCTTTTTCAAAAAACAAAGAATGTTGACTTACTAAGTGTAACAATAAAAAGATTGAGGAAGATCAAAAATTGTTCCAAGCTAAATTTCTCCTACCAGAAACTGTTCCAATTACCTACTTCAGAAAAAGCTGCAATTTGTTGCAATAAAACTCAATGTTAAAATTAGCGGTGAAAGACTAAAGAAAATGTTGTTACTTTGTTATGAAACTTCTATGTGGGATAAAATGGAACAGGAAAAGGTACAATAAAGGGCAGTAAGTGAGGGCTGAGGGCAAGTAGCAGCTTCTGTACTAGGAACTAGTGAACAGACCAACACTCTTCAGCCTGCAAGAGCAAAAGCTTAAGCATCATTATACAAAGATTTTAAAATTGCACATGGCATGAAGAAAGTGAATGAGAATCTGCTATTCACTATTTCTCACAGTCAAGTTTCACCTGATGCTATCCAGCGGTAGCAAGCGGCAGGCTTAAAATAAAAACCTACTTATTCCATAAAAAAAGAACATCAAGTCAGATCCATACTATTGGAAACAGGAATATCACAATAAGGCTTGTCCCGTTTGTACATTCTTCTCTAGGCCTGTTCTAGTGCATACCAAGCTGAGTGGACCTTTAGCCTAACCCAATAACATTGCTCTTATGTTAAGAAACACACACCACGCATAGAACAGATTTTACAGAATAGGATGGTATTAAAATTGAAACCTTGGGAAACAGTTATAACTGCCTATTGAAGAACAAATGTCAAGAATTTAAGCAAGTACCCGATGTTTTAGACTCTGTAGGCAATATATGACTATGCATGGAGCATAATTAGAATTCTAATTAAGTGGTCATATATTATAATTTTCTTCAATTTGTAAAGATATAACAGCATCCTGCGAGTGCCGTTCTACAAGAGAAAGATATTAACTAGCGGCTGTGCACAACTGTGTAACAAATACACAGCTTCTTCCATACAAAAGTGGAGGAGATTATGCATTGCAAAGCTGTAGGGAAGGCTGGTGTACAAGTATACTCCCTAGCCCTCCAGGGAAACAGAATCGACCTAGCTGTCTCACCCTGTCATTTTGTGATTGCAAAGGCTTGTAGAGAACATGACTGATGAGCCAGCTGGCAAGAAAAAGGATTATATAAGAAATCTGATAAATACTAATATATCTAATTATTAGGAACAGAAAAAAGCATGTATACAGAAAAAAAATAAATACTTACACTATTCAATGCATCTAAGGGGCTGAATGGTATTTTTATTCAAATGATAGTATGTTACTATGGGGAAAAAGGTCATTAAAAAGAATGCATGACCAGGATTGAAAATACATTTGTTTGACACTTCTTTCTCATCAGTTGTATCTCTCAATACCTCCAAAGCAGCAGGCTCATATAGGAATCTCCAGACTAAGGAACTTTTGCACATAACAATAACCAAAATGACATGCTCAATATCATGGTGTGAACAGAAGTAGTATTTAAGACAAGGACTTCAGCTTTGATTAACACTATTTTGCTTAGGGACACCAAGCAGTTACACCAATTAAAAAAAGGCAGCAGATATTTGTTGTTAACTATTTGCTCTATAAACATAAACTGCACACATACAGACAACAAAGGAATCAATTACAATCAGATTTAGAGTAATTAAACTTTGTCTTTGATTGTTCAATTTAACATGGAGAAAGAGTACTTAAATCTATATTTTGCTGGCCAAAGGATCAGTCCTTTGTATTATAAGTTATCGTAAAAGAAAAAATATGAAGAATTTCCATATCTGAAATAATGTTTTATACTTTGGCAAAGGCCTCAGGCTACCACACACGATAATCATTTGACTAATGATGTTTTCAGAGAGCTTTCTACAAAAAAAAAAAAAAAAAAGAGGCATTTTAAATATCACTTATAAGGTCAGCATAATGGGTAACAGTTTACTGTTCTGTGCAGCTGATAATTAACCCTTATAACCTCTATTGAGCAGTCAAATTTACTAATACCATAAATGTCAGCTCACATTTGGAACACTTTCCTATGGAAAATACTTGGAGAATGATTTAAAAAATTATCTTTGGATTTCATTCACTGGTCAATTCTCTTTTTCTGATTAAAGTACAATTTCACATCAGTTAACATCATGGGAAGAAACAATAAAAGTAAGTATTTCTTACTAATGTAAGTTTCTGGACATGTCAACTGAACAAACAAGTTTTATGGGCTGCAAATTGTATTTAGATTCCTACATCTTCACATGAGACAGTAATCATTTCAAACACTAACTTTCCCAAGGCATCATCCACATCCCCTCGACTTGGTTCCTGACCCCGTACTCGTCCACGACAAGTTAAAGGCATGAGTTCATCAGCTGGATACGCATGCTCCTGTAGGGATACAAAACAAGGGAATACGTTACAATTGTTACAGTCATTTCAGCAAGTCTTCAGAGCTGGTTAAAAGGAAGCCCAATTACTGTACTTCCAAAAAACTGCATGACAATCACAGAACCTCTGAGGTGGGAAAGGACCTCTAGAGATCCCCTTGTCCAACCCCTCTACTCAAGCAGGGCCATCTAGACCCAGTTGCCCAGTACTGTGTCCAGATAAGTTTTGAGTATCTCCAAGGATGGAGACTCCACAACCTCTTTGGGTAACCTGTGCCAGTACTCAGTCACCTTCACGGTAAAAAAGTGTTTCCTGATGTTCAGAGGGAACCTCCCGTGTCTCAGTTTGTGCCCATTGCCTCTGGTCCTGTCACCAGGCACCGCTGAGAAGAACCTGGCTCCATCATCTTTACAGCCTCCCTTCAGGTATTTATATACAGTGATAAGATCCCCCTGAGCCTTCTCTTCTCCAGGCTGAACAGCCCTAGCTCTCTCAGCCTTTCCCCATAGGAAAGATGCTCCAGTCTCTTCATCATCTTTATCGCCTTTCATTGGACTCTGTCCAGTATGTCTGTATCTCTCTTGTACTGGGGAGGCCAGAACTGAACACAGTACTCCAGGTGTGGCCTCACCAGTGCCAAGTAGAGGGGAAGGATCACCTCCCTCGATCTGCTGGCAATGTTTTGCCTAATGCAGCCCAGGATACCATCAGTTGCCTTTGCCACAAGGGCACATTGCTGGCTCATGGTCAACTTGGTGTCCACGAAGACCCCCAGGTCCTTTTCTGCCGAGCTGCTCTCCAGCTCGGTGGCTGGAAATGATTAAACTGTGAACAGAGCAAGAGGATCTCTTTCTCTCTAACCTCCCGGAAAAGTCTGGAATAACTAACAGCACATCCAAAAACCCCACAAATTAACTTGAATAGGTAATTCTGTGCTTTCTGCAACAAGGTGCATATGACATTTCCTATAATGTCTCTTAGGCAGGAATTATCACCTCAAAGATGAGTTTAAAACCTAAAACTAATGCAGGTATTATCAAGTGGCTGGTATTTCATGGAGAAATTAGTGTGAACTAGACTTTGAAGTCACTTTGGAAACATTTCCAAGTGAACACAAGCAACTCAGGGTCACACTCAGTGACAGATAAGAGAACTCACTTAGAAGGTAAAATAATAAACTGGTAAATCACTACACAAGGCATAACAAAAGATAATGCTCACAAAAAAGCTTAGCAAGACTGAGCCTTTTACAAATATAACATTTTTTTTAAAGAGAGAGACATTGCTAGATTTTTTTTGGAAAAGCAACAGTTACTTTCCATATTTCTAGAAAAAGCACTCTGCAAAGCAAGCATTGCAAAGTATTGTAATATTATTTCTTGTCAGTCAGTCAGAAATAACAGGAGTGGCACCATTGCCTAAGTCAGGCACACTGAATGAAAGGCCTGTTCTTCCTATTGTCTCCCAAGTCAATGCAAGTTTCATAGGTTTAAACTACCACTAAAATGGGATATCAAATGAAATAGACACAAATTTGAAATACATCATTGTGCAATAGGAGAGGTTTACTGAAAAATTTTCACAGTGGCCACTGACATTAATAAAGATGAATCTTAAATATATCTAATTTCAACAAACATGCATGAAATTGCCTCTCCATTAGAAGCCCAATACAAGTGATTTGGGACGGAGTTTCTCTCTTTTACATCAGGAAACTGGACGCTGTACTGTGCCCTCCAGTTTTACTTTTAGCGGAGAACCAACGTGTGGCAGGATAAAAAAGTTCAATAACTGCACTGAAACTGCAAGTAAACACATTCAAAGTCTTTCCAAATACACGGTACAAAAATAATCTATATTCAAACATGAAATAAAGAGGAAAAGAAGGAACATTCGTCCACAAATAAACAGCTCTTACAGCAACTTCTTTTGAAACTGATGTTTTATTTCCCTGTCTACCACTCTCCCAAGTGTTTTGGTCTTTGCATGACCCTCTGTTCTCCTCAAGTTCAACTACAAAAGCCAGGATCTAGATCATTTTAATATGGCTCAGATGTTTCTGAATATCCGTGCAAAGTATTCAGAAAAACAGATTAAAAAAGTACATGACAAAAGCAAAGTCAAAACTAAGAACTCTGGCTTAAATTATGGAGAAAAAAGGTGATAAAAATTCTGGATAAAATAGACTTCTAGTCTTACAAAATCATAAGGAACTAGAAGCACTTTGAAAAATAAAAGTTTGCTTATTCTCTGTCTAGAGCAGGAAAGGCTACTGGGTCAAGTGATTTCCCAACTTGTAATTTCTCCCCTTTCAAGTAACCTCAAAGGAAGGTAGCAAGAGCCATTAAATATAAAACATGGCACAAATGTTACAATAAACATACTCTGGAAGATACTATACAAAGGGAGCTCAACAGATACTTTGGAATTTCTACACATTCTGACTGAACAGATGATCGTATTGCCTAATGTCAGGACTGTACATTCAAGGCAGCACAGTACTTGAATAATGAAAAATGACACATCACTACTAGTGCTGTAAACCAAGAAATACCTGCTGGCCTCAAGTGACTGACATTTTCACATATTCTTTCTGACAGTCAAGAAAAAAAAATCCTGAAGGACTGAAAAAAAAAAAAAAAGCAGCTTTTTACTCAAAGCTCCTGGTAGCAACCAAAAAAAAAAAAGACAAGGGAGTTCCCCTCTTGCATGCAAACATGAATTTTCGGTCTTCTAAATACACATGTCTAAAATGCATATTAATAGAAACAGAAAATCAAAACTTTTCAGCTGGCTGTTTCAAAAGCAGCTGCAAAAATACTTAATTCTCTTGCTGTCAGAATCAAGTCTGATACCCTAATCTTTTCTTCTACTTTAAACAAACAAGTCATATTTCTCTGTTTGTTTAGTGCTCTGGCATACGTGGCAAGTAAATATCCTTTTGGCTTCAAAGTTTCCAGGATAGCTGAAGTCATTCTTTTTCATCCAGAATTTTCTTGCTTCAGATGTAGTAAGACACCTACCAGTTACCAATTTATCACACGATGAACCGTAGGAGCACAGATCCTGTCTACTGGCATGTAACATTCTATCTAATTTTGCCAAATATGTAACAAGTTTTTACTTCAGAATGCCATGGGAAATTCAAGCCAAGTGTTTTTCAGGGAACCAGGTCCCAAGTAACTAATTACAAATTATCACAAAAAAGCCTGATGCTTGTTAAACTGCTAAGGTAGCAAAAGCAAAAGCTAATGTTAAAAACTACACCCACTTTGAAAATACTGTTGCTTGGCTTTTTATCCATTCTAGAGTTCTATAACTCTCAAGTACTGCATAAACTTGTAACTCACAAGCTTTTAAGCTTGTATTACATATTAAAGCGTTAAACCATCATACAGAAACTGGGACATGTGGCAAGACACTGTCAAGAGACAGGAGTTTGTCCTGCAGGAACTGGTGCAACTTAAAAGAGAGGGGTTTCTGCAACAGCCACAGAGAATGTATAAAAAGATTGTTAATGTAAACTCAGTAAGAATGCACCTTTTATATTTATCTTATTCACATTTACAGTTTCTCCTCAGAATTGCATTACTTATAGCACATTTGAAAGTAATTATTACTTGAGGAAAGTCAGTCCACTCTAAGTAATTCTTTATTCTTAATCATATCTAAACTAAGCTAACTTATTTCAAGATTTATTAGAGTGCAGAATGGCTCACATATCCAGAACATGAGGACACCTGCACAGAAAATCACAAGTCATATTAACAGAAACTATAGTGAGTTTGGCTCACTGTCATGTGACAGTCACATACTCAGAAGAGACTATAATGTGTAGATATGACACAAGATCCCCTTTTTGTTCTACTTTGTTCTACAAACATTGTTTGCAAAAGAGCTACCAAACTGCATCTAACATATCTTACCACAGAAGAAATACTGTACACAAATTTTACCTACAAAATAAGTAAGAACAGTTTGTGTTCTCCAGAATCCGATGACTACAGACAGCTCTTCTTGAGCTTCCTTTACCTCATATTTTTAGGCATCTGGAATTTCAAACCAAATACTTTACCAAAGATGAAAACAGTTCATAGCTTGACTTGAGATAAACTGGTTTGAGGAAGATCAGGCACAGATTAACAGAGTGACCGCTAGCAATTCCTAGCTACGATTCTGAAAGCCATCATAAACCTCCTGACACTGCTCTTCCTGAAAGTAACATTTGTTCGCTTCTTTTTAAAGGCTATACAGGTGCTTTTATTTATTTTAGCTTTGTTTTCGCCCCTACTTCCCCTGCTATTTCTCTAGAATGTCAGGTACTGTAGGTTGCTTTCTCTCCCAGGTCAGCAATAACAACTCCAAAAAAATTAAGCAAACAAGTGTTTTACTTACCATATAATTGCTATATGCATGATCAAACATTTCAAGCACTTGGTTTCTAAAAAAGAAAAAAGAAAAAGCATTAGTGGTCTGCTTCACAATGGCCTTTAACATACTATCTTAGAACAGCAACATGTATTACACTTTAATATCTGAATATCAGTTACAGGTCCTCTACTAACGTACTCTACTCAAGTAAATGAAATACAGCATAATAATTTTTCCTAATTTGGCTACTTCCATTCACTGCAGAAAGGAAAGACTATTTCTTCACCTAACATGAAATGAACTATTTGGGGATTTCTTTCAATCTCCTGTGCTTCCCCTTAAATAGCTGTAGATGTCACCAACCCATTAAAGCTAGAGATGGGACACATTCCATGCTCAGCAAAAAACAGAAAATTGAATTATGTTCTGCTTGTTATCACCAATACTAAAACCAACTGACACAGCACAAATTCCTGTCTGTGATTCAGAAAAGGACCATAAGTTATGAGGTACACCTCTTCCTAGCATTAGAAGTCTTGGCAAGCAAATACTAAAGAAAACCCTTGTAGATACATTTATTTTACATGGTTGAAAAGCTGTCAAGGTGAGAAACACTACTATATAAAAAAAGCACTGGGATTTTTTGAGACAGCACTACTTCCAATCATTCCTCACTCTTTTACTGAGGAGCCTTGTAAGGCAAAAGAGCATGCTAATTTCTAAGCTACCATCAACATAATTCACAGTCTTTGCTGATAAGACTGAACATAAAAGAAACAAGAACACCACAATTATATTCTAAATATCTGATTTAGTTCAATGACTTGGAAATTTAAGAAGTAGTTTTAACTCATCAAACGCATTAAGTCATCAAAAGAGCAGAGTGTGATGCTTTTTTCAGGTACTTCACAGACCACATCCAGCCTGTAGTTCTGCGATCTGTTGCAGTGGACAAAACCCCAGGGTTTGGCACACAAGTGCCATCTCCAGATGAACTAAGCATACAATGCTGTTCAGTGATATAGCATACAGAAATCTTCTTAAAATTTCTATTTCTCTATACGCAACTTACATTTACAGGGCATTTTCTGAAATAATTTCTGTGACTGACATGATCTTGTCATTAAATAAATACACAGATTACCTGCCGTTATTCAGGAATGACCCGTCTCAGTGCCCCCAAACAAAAACTGTGGCAAGATATTAATTGCATATGCCTGGGACATCAGATGATACAGTGAGTGCAAGTTACAAATCCAAAAGTTTTAAAACCAATTGGTGAATGAAATTTAAAGTCCTTATGTAGTCACATGAAGAAAACATACAAAACATTATATACACAAGTACCCTGAGAACCCCAGATGGAAAACCCCAGTAACTGTAAACATCATCAGAGTTACATATCAACTTATACCTAATGATTAATAACCGTAAGAGCATCCAGAGTGTTTCTCCAGCAGACTTTTTACATCATTATTCTGTGCAGCTGACCAGTAGATGGGAAGAGGATGATGACAAAACTGCCCCAGTAGCGTACTAAGAACATGATATGCTTGATTACATATTTGTCTAAAAAAAATCCTACTCCATGCAGTGCAATACATTGCCATCTATACTGTAATCTTTAGCCTTTGACCAAAAACTATACTAAAAGAGAATCACCTTCTTACATGTACATGTGTGGGGCACCAAAGCAGCTTACCTTATATACAGTGACCAAGCAAGAACATGTGCAAACATTCACCTTTTTTATGACTGCTAAACACTCACATGCTCCAGAGGCATAGCCATAATTAGACCAACTGACTATGGGTTTACATTCAACCTTTGATCACTTTTACCTACAATTACCCGCAACCAATGGCTGCAATCTTCAAGACTGGAGCTCCCAAGCGTATGGCAGAAGGGTTTGACCCCACAGGCAGCAGAGGTGGTGAGGGGCCGCCTGCCCCAGAGAGCTGTGGCGGCTTGACCCGAGGCACCAGCCCGGCTCCGGCATACGCACCTCAAACATTGATGGGAGACCGATGCCACACATCTGGTAGAGTCTTCGGGG